GAGACTGTTTGGCCATGTTGGAGGCCATGTTTGGCCGGAATAGCGATTCGGCGTATGTCGGCTCACATTATCCGCGCTTTTATAGTCTTTTCGTGGTTTAAAACGCTCAAACATGTGATATGATGTTGCTCCCACGCATTAGGGCGGATGCCAATGTCACCTTACGGTCAAGTCAGGTCATTGACCTTTGATGACCTCGGTGCACTTTTCCGAGTTTAACATGTTTCTAGGATAGTTTCGTTTAGCTGATTTTGAATTTAGCATTTTGCAGCCATTTGAACATTTACGAAGTAGTTTTGATGCCTTCGTATCATGTTACGTAGCTGCCAGTGGTAGTGGACACCTGCTATACGGACGCCCATAAGTACTCCTACTGGTTGATCTGACCTGACCTGCCCCGACATGGTCTAAACGCATGAAGACATTATCTATGATCCAAACTAACATGAAATTTGTGATCAGCACAAAAAAAAACGTATTACAGCCTTACTTTAGGAGGTTCTGACAGGTCCTGATTTTCCCGTCTTTTGGGTCTGTGACCTGACCTGGGCCGTGTTTCACGGCACGCTGCCAGCCGCTGCCAGCGCTGATGGCACTTTTGGTTTCAATGGAGACATCAACAAGCCTATACCCACAACACTACCGAAGGCTGACCTTAGCTCGCGGAATGCGCTGTCAGCGGCTGTCAGCACGACCGTGAAACACCGCCCTGGAAGGTCAACCAATGACCAAGGACCTTAAAATCGGGTATCATCGGCTTCGTCTCGTCACTCACGGGCAACACGCCTGTTTTTTTCCGCGAGCTCTAGCTTAATCAGGGGCCGAACGGCAGGGGGTCCAACCGACACCTCCCAGCCCGCGAAGGCTGCGCCACGCACCGACCCGGAGCGGGCTAATTGGTCGACAAAAGCAATTTGGAGTGTTTTCAAAGTAATATTTAGGCTCGGGTTGGGTGGGCTACCATTTCTATTTTTTTTTATTTTTAGTTTAAAAAAATATCGTTTCAGGGCTGTGACGAAAAAATAAGTGGCCTAAATCCGATGAGAAAACAGGATTTGGGGGTACCCTAGGTTTGGTTACTTGCAGGAGTTGGCCCCCCCCAAAACGCAAGTCTGGATCCGCCAGTGTCCAGAAGTGACACCAGGACTAGTAGAAGCCAAGCTGAGGATGCTGAAATCTTCTAAGTCTCCTGGCCCTGATGAGATCCACCCAAGAGTTCTTGTTGAGACTGCCCACAACATCGTCCGACCACTATCTCTTCTCTTCAACGAGTCTCTGCAGACAGCAGACCTACCCCTGGACTGGAAGGCAGGTGAGATCGTCCCGATATTCAAGAGGGGTAACAAACAATCTCCTGCAAACTACAGACCAGTGAGTTTGACGGCAATTCCGTGCAAGGTCCTCGAGTCGATTATCCGCGACCATATCATGGAACACATGGTTGCGACTCAGCAGCTTAACAATGCACAGCACGGTTTCCGCCCCAAACGCTCTTGCGCAACCCAACTGTTGGTAACGATCAATGACTGGACCAAGGCGATTGAACGAGGAAAGTCAGTGGACGCAATCTACTTGGACTTCTCAAAGGCCTTCGACACGGTACCTCACCAGCGACTACTGTGCAAGCTGAGGGCCTACGGAATAGGGGAGAGGCTGCTGCGCTGGGTGGAGAGCTTTCTGGTGGGCAGAAGGCAGAGGGTCATCCTGAATGGTGCGAAGTCCAGCTGGGCACCTGTCGAGTGGAGTACCACAAGGATCTGTGCTTGGGCCACTGCTGTTTGTAATCTATGTGAATGGCCTTCCTGATGCTGTGCAGTGCAACATACAGATGTTTGCAGACGACACCAAAATCTACCGTCCACTGAGTAGCTCGTCAGACGCTGAAAGGTTGCAGACCGACTTGAACGCAGCCATCGACTGGTCAGACATGTGGCAGCTCCACTTCAATGCAGAAAAGTGTAGAGTTCTGCACGTTGAAAGGGCCAGCGAAGGTCAGAGGTACTCCATGGGTGATGCGCACTGCGCAGTTGGACGAAACCACCGTTGAGAGGGATCTTGGTGTCGACAGTGAGTTGAAGTTTCGGGAGCACGCTGCAGCTGCGGTGTTGAAGGCCACACGTGTCCTATCCGTGATTCGCAGATCTTTCGAATCCATCGACGCAGAAACGCTCCCAGCTCTTGACAAAACACTGGTCAGACCTCACCTGGAGTACTGCAACACTGTCTGGAGCCCATTCAGCCGAGCGGACCAACAACGAGTGGAGAGGGTTCAACGGAGAGCTATGTACCAAGTTGATACCAGCGATCAAGAACCTGTCGTACACTGAGAGGATCCGACGTCTAGGTCTGCCGTCACTCTACTACAGGAGGCGACGAGGAGATATGATCGCGATATACCAGCTGCTGCACGGTGGAGTCGACCTGGATCCGGAGCTGTTTGTCACGCCAGCTGCCGCTGGTCCCACCAGAGGCCACGCCTGGAAACTGAGGAAACCGAGGGCTGAAACAAGAACGAGAAGACTCGCTCTTGGAGTCAGGGTCGTAAATGACTGGAACGCCCTACCAGCATCGGTTGTTTCATCTCGCTCCTTGAATGCCTTCAAAGCCAAGCTCGACGCCCACTGGTCCCATCTCCAATACACCATTCACATCAATGATGTGACATAGTGTGATATGACAATGAGGAAGTGACACAGTCAAGGAGCTCGATAAAGTAAGAGTCCTAAAGGCCAAGTGGCCTTCTAAATCTCGTACATCGTAAGTGTAAGTGTAAGTGAAAGCTGTGTGTTTTGAAACAGAGGAGGTAAATCTTCAGTTTTTTTCATTAAAAAAAAATCATTTAATTTTTCATCTTAACGACCGAGTCAGGGCATTGCAACTGCAAGGAGCTCGATAGGACCGGATCCTTGAGGCCAAGTGGCCTTTCAAAATTCCTCACTTTATAAGTATAAGTAAGTAAGTAAGAAACACAATTTTGATGATCTTTACAGTTGACTGCTTCTCCATGGCCAATTACATCAACTCGAGCGGTGGGTTGAGAGCTTTCAATTGCCGCCTTCCCCGTCTTTCTACGACCATGGATGAAGTATTCCTAAGCCCTGAGTGGCGGTCGGCTAGCCCGCTCAGGGTATATAGAACCGATATTCCTATAGATAGAAGAACGGGTACGCCAACGACGCGGAAAGCGCCCATTTTACCTGGATGAGTACAGGGTAGATGGTACATTTTTTTTAATATGGAAAAAATAGAGTATTGTATTATGATTAGTTAAGTCTTCATAAAGCAGATATTTTAAGTTATATGTACCAGAAATAACATGCTAAACTAACCATATTTTAAATATGGAATTGTTGTACTGGGACATGATAAATATTAACAAAAAAAAAAAATATTCGACACCAGTAAAATGTATATGAATCGGTAGCTTTGGGGGGCTGCTGCCTCCTTCATTTAGAATTCATTTTAAAAAGCAGGCTGATGAAGGAAGCAGCAGCCCCCGAAATCTACCGATTCATAATTATACATTTTACTGGTGTCGAATATTTTTTTCTGAATACTAACCATAGTTTAAAACTTAGTCTTAAGCGTATAGTTGACTTAGCAAAATATTGACTATACGCTTTTCAAAATATTGAAAAGCGTATAGTTGACTTAGCAAAATATTGACATCGACGTTCAGCGACAGATTCGCGGACCCTAGGATTTCGCTGAAAATCAGTACGGGGGGGGGGGGGAACTTGGGGCGTAGAATCGCGTATTCGCGGTCCCCTAGCATTTCGCTGAAAATCACTACAGAGGAGTAACTTGGGGCGAAGAATCGCGTGGTGCAATCCGTTAAGGTTAAACCCTACATCTAATCCTTTTTCCGCTAGAGGGCAGCAAAGTTCCAGCGACAGATTCGCGGGCCCCTAGGATTTCGCTGAAAATCATTACAGAGGAGTAACTTGGGGCGAAGAATCGCGTGGTGCAATCCGTTAAGGTTAAACCCTACATCTAATCCTTTTTCCGCTAGAGGGCAGCAAAGCTCAGGCGACAGATTCGCGGACCCCTAGGGTTTTGCTGAAAATCACTGCAGAGGGGTAACTTGGGGCGAAGAATCGTGTGGTGCAATTTGTTAAACCCTACACCTAATACTTTTTTCCGCTAGAGGGCAGCAATGCTCCAGCGACGGATTCACCGGACCCCTAGGATTCCGCTGAAAATCACTACAGAGCGATAACTTGGGGCGTAGAATCACGTGCTGCAATCCGTCAAACCCTACACCTTTCCGTTAGACCTTTTCCGCTAGAGGGCAGCAAAGTTCCAGCGACAGATTCGCGGACCCCTAGGATTTCGCTGAAAATCACTACAGAAGGGTAACTTGGGCGAAGAATCGCGTGGGGCAATCTGTTAAACCCTACACCTAATACTTTTTCCGCTAGAGGGCAGCAAAGCTCTAGCGACAGATTTGCGAACCTTTAGGACTTCGCTGAAAATCACTACAGAATGAAATCCGGCTGTTCTTGTGCTGATCGCAGATGTCACTGAAAATCACTTTGGGCGAAGAATTTTTTTCTTATTTTCTTATTAACTTATTTTCATGTTGCCGCCCGTAGGACGCAATACTAAAATGGCCCCGGCGCCCTATCTGCCGTGAAATTGCGTGGTCGGAAAATCGGCGGAGTGTCCAATCCAGGAATACCTAATCCATGCTACGACCATCGGTTCGGAAGTTAGATAGGGGGAGGGCAGAATCGGCCCCACCAGCTGTGCGCCTATGGCTGAATAGCCCAGCGGGGCGAGGGTTACTACACTGATCCCGGTCACGGACAAACTCTTGTTGATGCATATCTTTCCTGCTTGTAAGTGTTCAAAGTTGAGCTGAATGTTTAGGTTTGATCACATTGCAAGATGAACATATTGCAAGAGGATGTTATTTTATGTGATAGTGTCCTATGCAGTATGCACTATTGTTGATCCTGCTCACAATGTGCTGACCGATGTGGATCAAACTGTGGCAGGCATCGCACATCTACATCTGCGACCAGCACAAGAACATGATCCAGTCGGCGCGCTCGCGGCGGCGGCGGCGCGACTCCGAGGAGCCGGACGAGGAGCCGGAGCAGCCCGAGATCGACCTCTTCAACCTGCAGATCAACACGCTGAGGCGCTACAAACGCTATTTCAAGCTGGCGTCGCGGCCCGGCCTCAACAAGGCACAGCTGGCCGAGGTGAGCCGCACTCGGGTACCTACTTTGGTTGAGCTGTTGCAGACGTTAAGGAACGCCGGACTTCTCTGGCTATTTTCAGCTAACTTTCGAGTGTTCGTTGTGTGATTGAACTTGAAAACGCTGCGTATGGGCTGAATGCTTAGGGCTCAGTAATCAGTATCTTGGCAAACTTAAAATCAGTATTTTTAGATTCTTTTTCAGATCACATTTTGCCCGGGCCAGCTACTCATGCCGCTGTTTAGCCCGCGCCCGGGTCGGATGGGCCTCTCAACCAACTTCGCCATGGTGTACGTGTGTGTGTGTGTGGGTGTGGGTGTTTGGCCACACCAGGTTATCTCGGAAAGTAAGAAAACTAGAAAGACGCGGAAAAGCTATAGGTAGGTCGCTATAAGATCTTTCAGGATTGCTTACAGCGTTTTTTTTATCACTTCATGCTTGAGGTCACCTGAGGTCACCAAAGGTTTAGATGTCACGATTTTCCCCAATTTTGAGGATATTTTCAAATCGGCGCATAACTTTACAACCAACAGCGCTACAGTGCCACGGAAAAGTGCATTCGATTGCTCTTTCAAAGCTCTTTCTGAGTATTGTCTTTTGAAACCAAACTTATATTATGTTGCTTTTATCAGCATCGCGTTTTTCTCGGCGAGACGTGTCGAATGAACTGTTAGTTGACGGTCATTTTAAAAATTTGACCTTAGGTCAAGGTCACAGAAAATACCATATTGCATATCAGTAGATTTGTATCGTTAAACTGACCGCAAGTAAGATGTTTTCATCGCTCTACATGTTTCTAGCTAGTTATTGTAAAAAAAAAAATGTTAGAACGTTTCATGACCTGAGATGACCCCAGTGGCTTAAAAACGGTCACGGGCGCAACCTGTCGATTCAGTGTGTCATATTTACCTGTATCCCATTGTTTGAGTGTTTTCGCCCAAACGAAGGGCAGTTCAATTTTCTCCGAATGAAGAGGTCGCAAAATTGACCTGACCTTAGGTCACCGATATCAAAATCCTGACATATGCAAATTGTTGGCACTGATTCCCATAGAGATCTTATTATTAGAGAGATCATAGATTAGAGAGACCGTATTAGAGAGACCTTAAAGATCGACATTATAGTATAAGATCTCTATATGCTGATTCCCATATGCAATTGCCCGAGTTTCACACCTCTAGGATATAAACTGTGGGAATGTCAATCACAAAGTTGTTAGAGGCATGCTTACTCAACTTGATCTGATGACCTGAACTTATGTGATCCGGGGTCTAGAATTACACACACGATGCGAAATTGATGCATCTATAAGTTATACAAAGTTTCGCGGCGCTGCTCGCCGCTGCTTTCTTTACACCCGCAAAAAAAAACTGGCAGGTATGGACAAGAACGCCCCCACCCGGGTGAAGATTCAGCAAAGTCGATCTAACCGCATCGAGCGTCACCTTTATAAGAACATGAAAATGATACTGTGATACAAATGTACTAGAGTGTCTGTTTAAAAATATGAATTATTTCATTTCAATGGAAGACGACTGAAATGACGGACGGGGTTTTCAACAAAAAAAAAAAAATATATATATATATATATATATATATATATATATATATATATATATATATATATATATATATATATATATATATATATATATATATATATATATATATATATATATATATATATATATATATCGGCCAATCGCGCTTGCATCTTTACCGCTTTTGACAGTTCAATGGAAAATTGATCTCAACAGCACCGAAACCACGATAAAATATGCTTAGCTTTCATAACTTTTTTTGTTGTTAATAATGGTGCACAGGGTTATCACTTATCACTGAAGGTCACCTACGATGCCTCTTGGTCATCGTAGCAACTAACAACAAAACTGAGACTGAAGCTTGTGAACGATATTTGTCGAAACAATCGGCGGCCCCAGAAATTACTACTGGCGTTGCTGTGCCCTGAGACGCGGCATTCGCTGCAGGGTGCCGCTGCGTGTCCGTCGCCGGGCCATGTGACGGCGCTTCCCGACCCGCCCCGCCGCGCTGACCCGCAGATCCTGATGAAGCACTTCCGCACGCTGCCCGTGGCCGAGAAGGATATCCTCACCTACTTCATCTACACCGTCAAGACCAACCGCAACCGGCTGCACCAGAAGCCGTCGTCGGCCGTGGAGCCGAGCTAGGCCCGGCCAGCCGGCCGGAGTGTGACGGGACGACGGGCGGGACACCGGCAGCGGACCGACCCAGGGCGTCTGACTGGGGCCGGTCCGGCACCCTGCCTCCAGGGAGGTCCTCAGGAGCCGCGGAGGGACGGAGGCCCGTGGCGGCTCGTGGGTGTACACCGCAGAGCGGTCCTGTGTGTGCTGGTGATGGTGTTTTATTATTTGATTCGTACACCGTGAATGGTGCATGTCGCGCACCGGTGCCCGGTTCCGGCTGGCGTTGTGTGCGCGCTGGTCACGGGACTAGGCTTGCTATGCTCTAACCTGTTGAGTTGAGTGGGACGGGGTCGTGTGCCGACCGTGTCTGCTCGTTCACAGTCATTGGCCCGCTTTAGCTGCGCTTTCTATACTGTCGTTTACGTGACGTGACAGGTGTTCCGACTGTCCGGTGACCAGCCGGCGCCGATCTCAGTCGAGCAGCCGCCTCCCGCCGGGCGGTGACCGGTGGCCGCCGGACGCCCGCTCTCCGCCCTCCAGTGTCCATAGATCCGACCGGGTGTCCGTGTGTTCTGAGCGCTCCGTGTGTGCATGTGACTGTGAGCAGTTTTGGCCGTAACGCCGCCTTTCATGATAGGACCGATCAGTGTATGATCAGCACGTCTGGAGAATCGAGTGTCACAAAATCATGTTCTGAATAGCTAGATAGGACGCCCCGTGGTTTCGACAGGCGTTGTTTTGATTTGTTTCGTAGTCTGTCCGATGCTGATACGTACTCGTGCGGCGACTGCGGTGTGCGGAGGGAGGGTATTTATTACGTGTTCACGTGTCTGGGCGCGGCCACAGCGCCGACCGGGAGCGCTGCGAGCTTCCACCGCTGTCGACGAGGCGCTGCCGTGTCCCGCCAATCTGACCGCACCGCTCCATGCCCGCTGGACAGTGAGGGGTGGCTGGCGCGCGCGCACCGCTGTGCACTTGGTTACCAGTGTTTTCTCTCGGAGGAGCGATAGATTAGCGGCTGAGGCGCGCCGGTCGGCGGCAGAGGAGGGCGATCCTGCTGTGATCGACAGGCCATGCTGGGCCCGAACCCGCTGAATACATCCGTCTTAGCTTCGTCAGCTGAGTGTCAGACGCCGTCGGAGGAGGAGGAGGGGGGGGGGGGCAGCAGGTGCAGGCAACGCTGAACGCTCGCGGCTGCCTCCTGCTACTAGCCTGTGGCTGCGTGGACAGCCGACGCCGAGGTTTTCGGCCGTGTGTGTCGGCGGTTTCCTGGTGGGAGAGAAGTGGACTGGGCCGGGCCAGCCCGGGTGTACAGCGCGCTGATGCGGGCGGGATCCGGCCTGTTGGTCCCTCACACGAACTTGGCCATTGGCCATTGCACGTTATTGAAATGCCTAATTCCTACATAATCAAGGAATTGTAAGAAGCTAAAGTTGCAGTTAAAAGGCGAAATAAGTACCATCAAATGAGAAATGTGCGCAGCAGAGCCACTGGAAGCTCGAAAATATTTTAATGATGGCCTTTGTTTACAAAGTCAAGCATATTAGCAGGCGACAGGCGGTATCAAGTCAATAGAAGTGTCACTGGTCGGGCGCAATCAGCGGACAGGAAACTGGAAAGTAAAGGCACGTAAGCTGAATCGTTACTGCCACCGCGACCCCGGCCTTTAGCACGAGGACAGAGTACACTTTTCCATTTTTCAAGTGCCTTTGTTCCCTGGTTTTCATACATAGCATTTCCCTGAACCGCTCATCTGGCCAGGCACCACCAGAGCCAGCATCATTTTGTTTGTTTTATTAGGGCAAGCTTTTTGACATGAAGACTCAGTGGCGGATCCAGGGGGGGGGGGGCAAAATGGGCATTTGCCCCCCCCCCCAAACGGCATGATTTTAACATTACGCCTATGGACGATGCATGGAAAGAATCGATAAATTTTTATGGTTTGCCCCCCCCCCCCCCAAACCTCTGAGCTGGATCCGCCTCTGTGAAGACTCATTTTGAAGAGGGCATAAGTCATAACGAGTCATGATGTGATGGTAAGATACAGCATACGGCAACACATAACAATTCAAATTGGACTGTGCGAACGGCCGATAGTGCAGGATTCCGTCACGGTGGGATGGTAGGGGAGTAGCTCGCTTTGGAAGCTGGGGCGTGGTTCAAAGGAAAGCTTAGGTAGGTACTCTCACCACCGGTGGCCCGGTTGAGGTGACTACCATCCCTGGAAAGGTAGTGTGGTCGTGGTGAGGCCTAAGGCCATGGATCGGTAATGAGTGGCTAATGAGGACAGTGGCGCAGTGGCGGCGGAACACCTTCAGGGCCGGGGGGGGGGGGCACTGCCGACTTTTGGTCCCATTCCTTCCATGCATTGCCCATAGGGCTAATGTTAAAATGCCAAAATCAAAGGGGGCGTGGTGCTCCCCCCCCCCCCCCCCTGTTCCGCCGCCTGGCTATGAATGAGGAATGTAAAGACTGGTGAAAACAACGCGTCCAAAAGTGAGATATATATAGTGACAGAACCGCGTTCTAGTACCAAGCATAGAATATTGATAGAGCCCAAGGCCATCTTTACAGAAACGCCATTTGGAAATAAAATTTACTCGATTTCTGGTGTAAAGGATTATTTTACAAATTTCTCATTTCAATTTTATCGAGTAAAACATCAAATTTAAATGAAATAATGCTTTCCTTACAAAGTAAACAAAAATGTGTTTGGATAAAGGGCAAGGCGTCACCCCGCGGTTTCCTCCTTTCTCGTGAACGCCGCGGTTCGCGGCGGTTGTTGGCGTTACTGGGGGTTCGTGGCCAGTGGATCTTCACTTCACGAATACTTCGTGAGTATTACTCTGTCACTCTAATGCCCTTTTGGAGTTCACTATCAGCCGAAATGTGAATAAAATCGATGGTTGACTGCATGCGTGCTTTGCTTGAAGCGGTGCTGGTGCTAGGTCCGGCATTGGTTGTGGTGGCTGATGGACGGTTTTGCGGATGTGTTTCACCCTTCGGCTGCTGGAATTGGTGCTCTGACAGTTTCATTAGTCTTTTTGTGCATGTATGTGTGTGGCATGATTATTCGCAGTACGAAAGGAATATTTCGTAGATTGCCGGCGGGGCCGGCGTCCCCGGGCGCTAGACCTTCGGCCGTTGGTGGCGCCAGCGTCGTCCGGCGCGAAGGACGCGGACATGCCTAAGAGCTGGACTTTTTGCACGCGTTCCCCGCAAGGGGGCGCCACTGAGGAAGCACCCTCTGACGTCACGATAAAACTGCGCGCACTGTGCGCACGGTTCTGTAAGCAAGTAATATAGTGGTGGTTTCATGGTGGAAATTGGAACAAGTATTTTGACGTTGTAAAATTCCAAGCCGTTTTTGTGAAATTAATTAGTAAATGCATTTCAAAAGTATTTATTTAAAGTGAGAAAGGAGAATAATTAGACGAACATGGATATTTTTGTTCCAATAGCTTATTATGTGAGACATTATCGGAACTAACGGGTACTTCTAAGAAGTAGTGAAGAAGTACCAAACAGCCTGCTCGGCTACGATCGTCAGCTGTCCTTTGGAGCTGGACTTCAACGCTGTAAAAAAAATGTGTGCTGAATTAATTTTTAGTTTCACCAAAATATAAGCAATTTATCATTTCTTTTTCACTTTTGTTATTATTGTTGAGTGAAGAGACATGTTGCTAGTTCTTACAATATAAATTATTAATTTAAAAAACGAAATGCGACGGTAAGTATCTGCTACTAAATTATCACTCTAACCAAATACATGCAGAATCTTGCTACCATTGCTTATAAAACGTGCTTATCAATACACAAATGTTTTATTTCAGACAAGAAGGATTTATTTGCCTGAAGTCTTGCGTCATGTGCTACTGCTTTGATTCCAAAGACGCTCTCCGGGTCGGGGTAATTTAGTTCTTCATCGATCGATACGGAGATTTTGATTCCATTGATATCCAAATTGATAAGCTCGGCACCATGGAGTAAGGGCGTCCCCACAGGGGTGACGCAGGAAATATGAATGTCGTTTACACCGACAGTAGTTTCTCACAGCCGGCAATGGGAATCTCCTGTCGGTGTAAACGCCACTATAGTCCCATCCAACTCAAACACTGGGGAATATCCCCGCACTTTTGAGGACGGAAATCTATGGACCTGCTCGAAAAATAGTGGATAAAATACGGCGAGCTTTCAGTTTTATGGTTAGGTCTCCCTTCCGAGGCACATATTTACGGGGAATATTGGTCATATTCCCCCGGCGTCCTGATGATCGGCGCCCAGCTCAACGTCGAAGGCGCCCTGATACGCGGCACTGCTATCTGTGAAGGTGCCCAGGTTGCTGCCGCTCGAATTTTGGTCGCCTACTTAACAAAACCTCCGTTGGTGCCATCTCAGTTTCCTCGAGGTCAGGCAACCTTCACACGCCGTTGGCTACCTTGGCTGGCCGGCGACTCGTTCCCCTCGTGGCGACGCTCTTGACATCCAGTCAAAAGTTGGAGTGGCTGGCGCCCCCAGTGGGGGCCGGGGAAGGGGCAGTGGGCCTCCACGTTGCTCTCTTCCCGAGCCTATGGTGACTTGGCTCAACTCTCCTCAATAGAATCTGGATTCTGCACGCTGTATTAACATGGGCGTAGACACCACTACGGACAATACGGACAGTGGGTGTGACAATCAGTAGTGCCATTCATATAGAGGGTGTCATATATGAACGGAGAGGCAACAGTACAGCTGAGCGGAGAGACAACATTAAAACAACAGTACAGCTGGCGTTGCATGGAGCTGCAGGCAACCGGACAGCGGAGGCTTGCGAAAAATAAACAATTCGTCACTTCAACGTATAAACAATAGTATAAAAAGCAACATAAACACATATTCTCATGGTCGAACCCATGCAATAGCGGCTCACGGCGGGCACAGGCACGCAGTGCGGTAGCGGTACCGGATCACACGTCATGGGCGTTGTCTCAGCATAGGTTGTTATGAGCGGAGAGGCAACAGTACAGCTGAGCGGAGAGACAACATAAAACAACAGTACAGCTGGCGTTGCATGGAGCTGTAGGCAACCGGACAGCGGAGGCTTGCGAAAAATAAACAATTCGTCACTTCAACGTATAAACAATAGTAAAAGCAACATAAACACATATTCTCATGGTCGAACCCATGCACTAGCGGCTCACAGCGGGCACAGGCACGCAGTGCGGTAGCGGTGCCGGATCACACGTCATGGGCGTTGTCTCAGCATAGGTTGTTCGCAATCTAGTTGAAGCCTAAGAAGACGGCCAGTGGGGCCTCACTGCTGCTGAGGCGACCTCGGAGACGATGCGTCGCCCCTCCTGTCGGCGACCTGCGGTGAGCAGGACTCCAGATAGCTGTCTGGCACGTTGCCGACACTGCCAGACGCTGTCAGCAGGCTTCACTGCTGCAAGTGATGTGCAGATGGACGCCAGGTGACTTCGTCGGCAGGCGATTCCGGAGACCGCGGCCTCACCAGGCAGTACCACCTGCATCGCCATGTCGGTGTGTCTAGAAATGGAAAAATAACAGTATCGGTGAAGAACAAGCAATACGATGTATTCTGTTTTCCTCTCTTGCAGGTATACGTAATCTACAATTATCATTGTTCCTATTTTTTTTTTATTCCTCGTCCTCCACACGGGATATGTTTTCCCATTTATGGGAGGGCTCCTGCTCCTCCTCAGGGCTACGGTGCAAGGCGGGAGCCCACCCCACCCCCCAGTGACACAGTTGGGGACGCCAGTCCGGAAGCCGGGCGGCACCGGGGATCGAACCCGGGTCCTCCCGACCACAGAACCGACGCCTTACCAACTGCGCCACTGGAGCCACCATTATTCCATATTTCATTCAACTGAACCTGAAAATTCCATATTGGCACATTGACTAAATTTGTGTAGTTGGGAACAGGGGCGACGCCACGGTGCGACGACTGGAGGCGACATTGACCATTTTGGAGGGGACGAGGACCATTTCAAGTCGATTCTTTCCATGCAACGCCATAGGCGTAATATTAAAATTTTAAAAAGTGGAGGGGATGAGATCCCCTCTGTCGCCCCCCCCCCCCCCCCCTGTGGCGACGCCCTTGGTTGGAAAGCAGATTGTTTGAAATACATGTTTGGCTGAACAGTGCGGAAAATATTTCATTGATCACTATAGCTGCAACAAAAATACTGAGACAGAAAACATTTGCGCTTACCTGGCTCCTTAGTCAGTCCCGCACAACGGAAGTGGTACCATTTATCGCAGCCGTCGCATCCGACCATCGGTGCTGCACTGATGCTGCTGCACTCCCCACATTCCCAGTACCTTAGGAGCGTCTTGGCTGTGAAAAGATTGCATGAGTCATGGCGCATACATGAATAGTAAGATGTTTTATATGTTTAACATCCCATAGCAAAGACACAACAGCTGGGAGTCAAGTGTAAGCCAAAGTGTAAGCCCTGCCATGTTTTGCAGACTGGATTTTAAGCAAGAAAAGCTTTGCTAAAAATGACGCTTGACGAAGCCCCATCCTACTGGGCTGTCTGACATGTCTCCCTGTAAAAAGCATGTGGCCCTTATATTGTATATATGATGAATATGTTAATAATGCAGAGAAAACACAGTATAAATTATACCCAACGTTTTATCTTAATCGACTTTGTCAAGGGTGTTTGAACAGCTTGAGATGAGTGAAGTGTAAGGGTACCTACCTAGGTACATCTGAAAATAAACTGAATCTGCGTTCAATAAACATTGATTTTGATAATACATTTCACAAATCAACTGCTAATAACAATCATACTAAAATAGCACGACAGATAACTAACAATCGCATGAGGAACTTCTTGATTCGCTTTTTGACATTGTCGTCCGAACGAATGTTGTCTGATGTTACACATTTGTCTTTTCTGCGCAGCATTTGTGTTTGCCATTTACCGCACCAATGTTCGCCAGCGGTGGTGACTTTTCCTTACCTGCTCACGAAACGTCACACACGACATGACGTCACCCGAAGACGTCATCAAAAAGTCCAGCTCTTAGGCGTGTCCGAAGGACGCCGTACCGCGGCCAAACGCCGAACATAGCGTTGCATGTTTATCCATGTTAGTTATGTTTTGCTCTTGCCATTTTAAATGAAAAATTTGAAGACCTTTGAACATGTCATTTCAATTTGGGACTGATGATTAGGGTGGACACATCGATTAATCCTAGTCCACCTCAACCTATACTAATGTTATGCCTGAACATAAGAATGAGGATCATGCCCAAAGGAATATACCATTTTCCTCATTTTAGGGTTTGCTAGGCATATGATTTTATGCTTTTGATTATCAGAAAAATATAAGCGAATAAAAAAATTAACTTCATTTAGGAGGAAATATATTCCATCTCTTGAGGAGGCTTGATTATGTAGCGGAAGCCTATTGCGTGTTGACCAATCACAGCCCAAAAAGTGACACATTGCTCTACAAGGCACTTTGTATATTTCCTTTAAATTAATGGTCTTAGTTATGCAGGTTCATGTTCGAAAAGTATTAAAACTTGAATGCCTAAGCTGAAATGAAAGAAGCTAAAATGACTCAAATTTAACATAGCTCATGGTCCTGAAATCCTAACTCTTTCAAATCATAGCTTCCACATAACCTTACTGAAGCTGGTGCCTCCTTTTGTTAGTTGAATGCCTAAAGTTGCTTGTAAGGCTGGTAGGTAGCTCAATCAGAGGGGTGTTCACGGGCACCGCACACTGCTGCGTGCGGTGTGTGCGGTGCGTCCAGCAGGCGTGGGGGTAGGGGATGGGTAGGCGGTTCTGACGTCACGGCTGCGTGCGGTGGACGGTCCGCTGTGGCCAGTCCCGACCGGCCACAGCGATCGCTGTGTGCGGTGACGGAAGGCTGACGTAGGGACGCAGTGGGCGGAGCTTGGGGCTGTGTGCGGTCCGACCGCACACAGGGCCCGTGAACAGCCCTCAGATTTCTCCAAATTGTTTGGCACAGCTTGACAGTAACATTGCACAGCTGCATTTAAAGGGTGTACTAGCTAACTGCATCAGTTATACCAGGGACAGATAATGCTAACTGGAATAGAACAGACTCATCCCTAGCCTCAATAAACAAACTTTGACACCCATTAACAAATGAGTCAATAGACTTCCAGCTTTATTATGCTCATAATCACTGGGTTTCATACCAGCTCAGCTCCCTTCTGATGAGAGCTGAAATTAGCATGATTACCTTTATATTATGGGAAGCTTGCTCTGCAGTCCTTACATGTCCTGAGGAAAATTTTCAGCTTGGTTTGGACTTCATTCTGCAAGAAGCTCTGCAGTGCATGCTTTGGGATGCTTGTTATCAGTTCTTTTGATGTGGTTTTTGGTATCCTGCCTTGCCTGTTGTGTTTTGATTCCTTTTTCTTGTTTTGCCTGCCATTGCCGTATCATCATGAACGTGATGTCCACGACTGCCTTGAGAGTTTTGCCTGCTGATAGGTCCGGATGGTGTTGATTTGCCGGAGTGACATGGCTTCTCTTGAGTCTTAATTTGTCTATGGACACCATCCTAGCTGACAATTCTTGAAGCTTCTTTTCATTGCATTGAAAAGATGCAATATTATCAACAACTTTCACTTTTTTCCATTGAATTTTTCTGTTCGCTCGTTTGCAGTTTCGTAAGCCATGTCTTACTACCGCGGCGGTAGCGGTGGCTCCGGCGGCGGCGGCGGCAGCCGCAGCTGCTACCGGTGCGGCGAGGAGGGCCACATCTCCCGTGACTGCCCCAGCGGCGGTGGCGGCGGCGGCGGCTTCGGCGGCGGCGGCAGCCGCGCCTGCTACTCGTGCGGCGAGGAGGGCCACATTTCCCGCGACTGCCCGCGCGGAGGAGGAGGCGGACGTGGCGGCGGTGGCGCGTGCTACCGCTGCGGCCAGGAGGGCCACTTCTCGCGCGAGTGCACGAGCGGAGGCGGCGGCGGCGGTTACGGCGGTGGCAGCCGCGCCTGCTACCGGTGCGGCGAGGAGGGCCACATTTCCCGCGACTGCCCCAGCGGCGGTGGCGGCGGCGGCGGCAGCCGGGCCTGTTACTCGTGCGGTCAGGAAGGTCACATCTCTCGGGACTGCCCGCGGGGAAGCTGAGCTGTGGGTCCCGATGTGAGGGTGGGTTCCGATGGCCGTGCACTGGAGGAAACTGACGTAAAATGTTCCATGGTGTCATGTGGTGAAGATCAAGCAAATACAGGACGCTGGTGAAGAGCTGTGGTTTTTATACGATTGGTGTTTGATGAGGCCCCGAAGCGTATCTGCGGGCTGGATGTGTAGATTCTAGAACATTCAAGCGTTTCACTCGTTGATTCTGTGTGTCGAGTATCAGGGGACTCCCCATCCGGGTCGCACTGGAGGCGGGAGGGACGCAGGTGGCGACAGGCGTCTGTGAATCACTCCAGAGGGCTCTGCTGTGCGGCGAGCAATCGGGCATTCCTAGGAACAGCACATGAAATGCGCAGTGCTTCTGGGTCGGAGTCGTCGCAAGGAACTACGAATTGCAGTTATAAGTCGACGAAGCTGTCGTGACTCCGAGCCCTGAATGTCTATTAGAAACTTGGTCACTTGTCCATTTGGTCCAGAATTAGCACGTATCTTTTTGAAATAAATTGCGCTTCCGCTGAACATGCCTTTGACATGAATAGTTACTCGGTCTTTGCCATTATTTTGTGCACTTTCACCTGCCGACAATTGTGCTACTCAGGAACGGAGCTGCGCTGCCTCTCTGGGGTGAGGCGCTGCCTTGACCAGCGTCCCCAGGCCCCAGCTACAGTAGGCGACTTTCCATCCCGCACAGATGCACACGATGTGGATGACATCTACTGGAAGAGAGCCGACAGGTACTGAACGATGCCTAGAATATGAGCAGTGAACAATAACCTCTCACCTGTATAGTTGTTTCCCGACCATTCCCGGCGCAGGGAAGTTAGTACGACCACCTGTTGTTTCTGACTGTAGTGTCCGAGCGATTCACGCACGCACACAAAGTGGATGGTTCGCCAAGTGATTTCGAAATTGGGCACATATTTTGACCTTTGTTGAAATTGGATAGTGTTTTACTCTAGCTTGTCTCAATCGTTGATCTACCATTTTTACCTTGCGTAAGGTCAAAGTCAAATTTCAAATACAAATCAGCCTGTTCCAGCTGTACACGCCGACGATCGTGCTGTCATGGCAGATAGCGACATCTTGTATGTGTCCTTGATCAAATTGGAGTGCGATGTTTCCGTATTTAGTTCAATGCATTCGCCCAGGCACTGGTGTTGCGAAGCAGAGGCGGATCCAGTTCAGCTCAGAGTTTTTTTTTTTGGGGGGGGGGCAATCCATAACAATTTATCGATTCTTTCCATGCCTCGTCCATAGGCGTAATGTTAAAATTATGCCGTTTGGGAGGGGCAAATGCCCATTTTGCCCCCCCCCCCTGGATCCGCCACTGTTGCGAAGTTTGAGTCGGAACGGTCGTGAAACCCGCCACCCGGAGCTGCAGTCGGAACGACGCTAGCTCCTGCAAGCCTAAAACCGCTAGCAACAAAAACCCTGGTGAAAGCATGCATTTTAAATGATGGAGATAACGGCTCCGCCGCCTACTGACTCATGTCCAGTGCTCTGTAGCCCGCAGGCACCAACTGTAGGTATTTGGACCCGCCCTCCGCGGAGTTCCCGGCGGTCCCCTGCCCGCGGCCGGGCGGAGCTGCTTAGCTGGGTCGGAGCGGCCGGTCCCGTACCGCTGGAGGAGACGGGGCTGGCTGTCCTATCAGAGGAAACCTTGCCGAACAGGGTCAGCGTTGAATTAATCGAACATTGGTCTGTGACAGCTATTGGCCTTATATTCAACTGTATGTGTTCGTACTTTAAGTTTAAACGCCTGGAGTTCCCTTAGTAATCGCTGTCATGTGTCCGGACTCATCGGAGAGGTCATTCTGAAAGGTGCTAGTTGGAACTGCACAACACAGACGGTATGATCATTGATCACTATGGCAGTAGCGGGGCAAAACAGACATTTACCCTCCCCAAAGCTAAATCTGTGGACAAGACTATCTTTTTGCCCCTCTCAGCATGTAGAATACGGCGGCGATGCCTACATAATTTGACGAAAAGCAGGACTTTCCGTGACGGGCCATTATGAATTGGAAGTAGCTTACCGCTCGTTGCTGATAATTTGGGTAGGTATGCCGATAATAAATGGAACTTCCTGAACTGAATACAGGCAATTGTCCCCCCCCCCCTCGTATCTCCGAAATTACTGGACGTATCCACAAAATTCCAACTGGGTTCGAAAGCCCAGTCAAATTTGTTGAGGGAAATCCAATTTCATTGACCTCGGGGTCACCGATGACGTCACAAATCAGGTCGAAGATAAAATGTTTTGCCGGTCACGGGTGTTCTAGGGAATGCGCTCTAACATCGAATAAAACGCATTTTATCGAAAATCAGCGATAGGGCGTCAGTTGCCTAGTGCATATGTTGCTACTAGAGGTCACTGATAACACCAGGTCAGGTCACAGGTCAGGTCACCATTTACCAAGGGTCAGCACATGAACCCAATTTTACTAGGGCTGTGTGATGCATGTTTTATGGCCAATTTTTTATTTCAAACTCAATGGTGTTGATTGTAAGACTATCAAGAACGGTTTAGGTCATTTCCTGGTGGAGGTCAGGTCAATGTCAGGCTAAAAAAGGTCAAATTTCAAAAATTGATATTTTTGCATAAAATGGGTATTGATTCGATGCAGCTCTCACGGCGAGTCTAATGGTGGTCTTTGTCACTGGCGGATCCAGACTTGCGTTTTGGGGGGGGGGGCCAACTCGTGCAAGGAGCCAACCCTAGGGTACCCCCAAATCCTGTTTTCTCATCGGATTTAGGCCACTTATTTTTCGTCACAGCCCTGAAACGATAATTTTTTTAAACTAAAAAAAAAAAATAGAGAGAGAAATTGTAGCCCACTCAACCCGTGCCTTAATATTACTTTGAAAACACTTCAAATTGCTTTTGTCGACCACCGCTCCGGGTCGGTGCTTGGCGCAGCCTTCGCGGGCTGGGAGTTGTCGGTTGAACCTCTCTGCCGTTCGGCCCCTGATCAAGCTAGAGCTCGCGGAAAAAACGAGTGTGTTGCCTGTGCGTGACGAGAGGAAGCCGATGATGATACCCGATTTTAAGGTCCTTGGTCATTGGTTGACCTTCCAGGGCGGTGTTTCACGATCGCGCTGCCAGCCGCTGCCAGCGCATTCCGCGAGCTAAGGTCAACCTTCGGTAGTGTTGTAGGTATAGGCTAGTTGATGTCTCCATGGAAACCAAAAGTGCCAACAGCGCTGGCAGCGTGCCGTGAAACACCGCCCAGGTCAGGTCACAGACCCAAAAGACGGGAAAATCAGGGCCTGTCAGAACCTCCTAAAGTAAGGCTGTAATAGATTTTTTTTGTGCTGATCACGAATTTCATGTTAGTTTGGATCATAGATGATATCTTCATGCCTTTAGGCCATGTCGGGGCAGGCCAGGTCAGGTCAACCAGGTCAACCAGTACTTATGAGCGTCCGTGTAGCAGGTGTCCGACTACCACTAGCAGCTACGTAACATGATACGAAGGCATCAAAACTACTTCGTAAATGTTCAAATGGTTGCTAAATGCTAAATTCAAAATCAGCTAAACGAAACTATCCTAGAAACATGTTAAACTCGGAAAAGTGCACCGAGGTCATCAAAGGTCAATGACCTGACTTGACCCTAAGGTGACATTGACACCTACCACAATGGTTGGGACCAACATCATTTCACATGTTTGAGCGTTTTAAACCACGAAAAGACTGTAAACGAGCGGATAATGTGAGCCGACATACGCGGAATCGCGATTCCGGCCAAACATGGCCTCAAACATGGCCAAACATATGGTGCGTTCGGAGAGGCACATTCCACGTGGAATCCGTGGAATACTCCATGCGCGCGGAACATTCCCGGAGATTGGCCGTTCAGAGAGATACGCCTCCGAACGCGGCACGGGGAATATTCCAGGGGACGGTGAATATTCCATGCTCTCCGAACGCACGGATAGTCTCGAGAAATAGGCCACAGGTCAAAGGTCACTTGGGTCAGGGTCATGAAATTTTCAGACTTTGTCAACATGAGGGTGCTAAAGTTTCGTCGCGATCGGATTCATGATAACTTACACGATAACTTCACGCGTCGATCGAGAGGTAAAGTGTGCAATAAGAACTTCTTGGGTGAAGACGAGACCAACACTCAAGCTCACATATTTTTAATGATACGGTAGTTTCTACCTACTACGCTACTTTCTCACATTCATATTTCTTAAGTGTTTTTGGGGGCCAAAATACATGTTGCCCCCTTTCAGGCTTGGGGGCATGACCCCGTGGCCCCCCTGGATCCGCTAGGCCGAAACTAACTAGGCCGTTTTCAAACGGTCTGATATTTCAGGTCATGGTTTGCAAACGGCCGGTGTTTTCAGGCTGTTTCATATGCCCTGACTGGGCCAGGCCGTTTGCAAACGGACAATTTTCATACGGCCTGTAACATATATTCATATTTCACCATCTGTCGCAGCATCAAATGCTGATGTGGTGCACTCAAAAGCCGGAATTGGTCCTTGGATGCCGTAAGGACCCTTTTAAGAAATAAGTGACCCGACTGACCCCTTAGAGATTGGCCTGAGCTCTGACCGAAATAAGTCTTTTACCGTTTCACGGGAAGGGACAAAAAGGTCCCTGATATGCTTCTTGTACAATTACCAAACAAAACAAGCTTTTCAACGCCAACTCAGTGAGTGTTCCTAAAAAAATTATTGCGCATATTCCGTGAATGAAAAATTGCCGGGTCATGTCAGGTCAGGCTGCCAGAGCAAGTTTGTTAACTTGACAGTTCAATCGATATGTATGCAATAAGACCTTCTCGGGTGACGACAAGACATGACGACACTTTATGAAGGAAGCTAGTAAACCAGGTAGTTTCTCCATAGGCGCGGGAACCGGGGCAGTGGGGACAGCTTGCCCACCCCCCAACTATGGGGCCGTGGGGGCGGTGCCCCCACAACTTTCAGACGGAATACCCCATTTTTTGCAAATGTTTTCTTTTTTTGTTGAAAAAAGCCAAGGGATGAAAAATAAGTGGCCCAAAACCGGTGAGAAAACTAGATTCGGGGGGACCCTAGGTTGATCTCTGTTATGGTGTGCCCCCCCCCCCCCCAGTCTGAAAGTAGTTCCCGCACCCCTGATATCACGCCGGTGATTCTAACTTTTAGGTATCTACTACGCAACCTTCTCACATTAATTTTTCTTCAAGCGTTTTGGGAGGGGGGCCAAAAGATATGTTGGCCCCCCTTTCAGGCTTTTGGGGGGCCATGGCCCCGGTGGCCCCCTCCCTGAATCCACCAGTGGGGGGCGGTGCCACCACAACTTTCAGACAGAATACCGCCCTTTTTGCAAATGTTTTCTTTTTTTGTTGAAAAAGCCAAGAGATGAAAAATAAGTGGAGTAAAACCGGTGAGAAACTAGATTTGGGGGGACCCTAGGTTGATCTCTATTATGGTGTGCCCCCCCCCCCCCCCCAGTCTGAAAGTAGTTCCCGCACCCCTGACTTTCTCTACGCTATTGAATCACGCTGCTGATTCTAGTAGGTATCTACTACGCAACCATCTCACATTAATTTTTCTTCAAGCGTTTTGGGGGGGGCCAAAAGATATGTTGGCCCCCCCTTTCAGGCTTTTGGGGGGGCCATGGCCCCGGTGGCCCCCCCCCCCCTGGATCCGCCAGTGGTCTTTGTTTTGCGCTACGTGGTCTAGAATTGCCTAACCCTCGCATGTGTAGGGGGGGGTCGGATGGACCCCCCATGTTTTTTCGCGGATAACTCGCGTAAAAAGCGGCCGATCGCGACGAAACTTTCAGTATTCTCGCATTGATCAACTTTACACCTACCCTGAAAATTTCATGACCCTGACCCAAATGACCTTTGACCTGTGACCTCTTTTCCGAGACCATGTTTGGCCGGAATCGCGGTTTCGCGTATGTCGGCTCCCATTAGCCGCGCGTTTGCAAGCTTTTCGTGGTTTCAAACGTTCAAACATGTGATTTGATGTTCCTCCCATACATTAGGGTGGGTGTCCAGGTCACCTGAAGGTCAGGTCAGGTCATTGACCTTTGGTGACCTCGGGTGACCTCGGTTCACTTTTTCGAGTTTTACATGTTTCTAGGCTAGTTTTTGGAGCTGAATTCGAATTGAGCAACCATTTGAACATTTACGAAGTAGTTTTGGTGCCTTCGTAACATGTTACGAAGCTGTCAGAGGCGGTTGACACGTATTACGAATACCCGTCACAACCCCTACCGGTTGACCTGACCTGACCTGACCCGACCTGGTCTAAATGCTTAAAGACATCATCTCTGATCAAAACTAACACGATATTCGTGATCAGCACCCCGGAAAACCACATAGCAGCCACACTTTACCGACTTTCTAACAGGTCCCGATTTTCCCGGTTTTCGGGTCATTGACCTGACCTGGAAGGTCAACCAATGACCTAGGACCTTAAAATTGGGTATCATCGGCTTCCTCTTGTCACGGGCAACACGCTCGTTTTTTCCGCGAAGCTCTAGCTCGATCAGTGGTCAAACGGCAAGGGGGGGTCCATTCGACCCCCCCCCCCCCTACACATTAGAAGCTGGCAAACGCCGCACACATGCGAGGGTTAAGATTGAGTTTGAAAATTTAACCTCATCAATTTTGAACTGTTTTTTCGCTATAACTTGGCCAAAAAGAGAGGTATCGATCTAAAATTTGGTATGTGAATAGACGTTGGTTAGGGCTATCACATGTATTCCGGTTTTTCGAAATTCAAAAAAGCTTTTTGGATTTTTTGGCAATTATTTTAATTTTTTAATTTTTGGGGGTTAAAATTCAAAATTTCGAGATATGCATTTTGTAGCCCTGGTAATTCTACACCTTTTATGTCTTAGACGTTTTTCTGTATCTTCAACGCTTTAGGCCTGACAGCTCTTCCTGCAAAACCTTTTTTGGGGTCGAAAACGGCAGAACATGACATCAGTCTGACGTCATTTGCGGCCAACCTAACCTATCAAAGCCTTTGGAAAAAAATTGGTCACAAATCACAATGTGTAAAATTGATGCCCGGGAGGGTGCTGAAAGTTTGGTGACGATCGGTGCAGCGGTTCTGGAGATATATCGAAAAGTCTGGGGGGGGGCACAAAAATAGCCCCCCCCCCACCAGGGCGCGGGCTAGTATGGTGTTGTAAAGTCACATGGTCACCGGTGCGGCAGTGACTGGTGGGTCCGGGTTGCCGAAGGGGTCGGAAACTTGCCCTCCTCAAACGGATTGGCTGAATCCGCCCCTGAGGGGCGGATTCAACGGCATGTTCCCGTGGCGCTAGTTACTGGGAAGGGAGCTTTTCTCTTCCTCCCCCCCCCCCCCTTTCTACATCGCCGTAATCCTTGGCCCTTCTGGACTGATCCAAGGCCCTATATACCGACTGATCCAGGTCACCAATTGGAATGACAAATGTTCATCAACTCCGCTTACGCTGTATAAGGTCAGGTGAAGCGTCATATTTTTTCTTTTTCTTTTCTTCTCAGTAAACGGTGATTTTTTAAAATTTTGCTCACGACGGGCTACAGCCCTAGTCGGGTAGGGGCCAGTTACTAGCTGTCATTTAGCCAGATCTTCCGTTTTACGTTACTTTAAAGTCGGCTATGCTATTCCGACCCAAGTAACCCGCGCCCCGTAGGGGGGGGCGGGGCCGAAACGGCCCCCTGTCCTTTTCCGTCGATATCTCCTAAACGGCTGGAGATATCGCCACCAAACTTTCAGGACCCATCCGAACATCAATTTTACACATTGGGACCAATTTTTTTTTCAGAGGCTATGATAGGCTGGCCACAAATGACGTCAGAATGACGTCATTTTCTGCCATTTTCGACCGAAAAAAGACCTTCGAAAGAAGAGCTGTCATGCCTACAGCTTTGAAGATACAGAAAAATAATCAAACTTAAAAGGTGTAGAATTGATAGGGCTACAAAACTGCTATCTCGGATTTTTGAAATTTTTGAGTTTTGACTCCCATAAATAAAAAATGCGATTTTTTGGATATATTAGCCAAAAATCCAAAAAGTTTTTTGAGTTTCGAAAAAACCGGAATATATGTGATAGTACCTACCGTCTTCTATATACATACCAAATTTCAGACCGATATCTCGTTTTTTGGCCAAGTTATAGCGAAAAAAAAACTTCAAAAATGATGACGTCAAATTTTCAAACTTAATTTTTGGCAATTCTAGACCACGTAGGACAAAACAAAGACCACCATTGGACTCCCCGTGACGAGCTGCATCGAGTCAATACCCATTTTATGCAAAATATCAACTTTGAAATTTGACCTAATATGACCTGACCTTGACCTGACCTTCACCAAAACGTGACCTAAGCTGGCCCCAAAGGCTGCCTGACCCACATTATCGCATTTGTCATGTAAAATGGACCATAAAACATGTATCACACGACACTTTCATATTGTGACCCCCAGTGACCTGACCTCTGTGACCTGACCTGGTATCAGTGACCTCAGATAGCGAGGTATGTGTTTGACGAACAATGTACCATCGATGGTTTTCAATAACTTACCAATTTACTCGAGTTCACAACACATTTCTTGAAATGGTTCACCGTCCTACTCGACTGTTGTCCTGGAAGAGGCTGTACGGCCGTTGTTAGTCGTACCTGCAGTCAACTGCCGGCCGTACCTACCTGCAATCAGCTGACAGCATACACACGGTCACGGCCACTGTCGGCCGTTCTGTCAGCTATCGGGACGCGCACTGTCCCGTCACCACTGTCGGATCCAGAAAGGGGGTCGGTCTTGGACGCTGCGGGAGGGGGCATACTCCTAAAAAAGTTAATCCAAATTTAGAAAAAAAAAAATATATCGGATTTTTATTCCTTACGCTTTGCTGTGCAGTTTAAAACAAACTTTTCTAGATTATAGCTGTTTAGTTTTCGTTTTATTCTCGAAAAACTGCAAATTTTCGTCGATTTCGGGCGCTGTGGGGGGGGGGTGGCATTAACCTACCCCAAAAGCCCTTCCCCCTGGATCCGCTAGTGACTGTCACGGTCGCTGTCGGCCGTACAGTCAGCTGTGAGCATACAGACGGTCACGGCCGCATGGGCCGCACTGCCAGCCGTCAGTACACACGGGCACGGATGGCGGCACGGCAGTGTCGGCCGTGCTGTCAGCTGCGGCCGTCGCTGGAGGAGGCCGTGTGTGGCGTTTGAGTGCTGCTGTCCTACGTTCAGATACGCTGGGCACTCCCAGCTGGGCGGCCGGCGGGCGCGGCGGTCACCGATAGCCGCTATCCGGTGTCGCGGACCGCCCGGCTCGGCTCACAGTGGGTCGGGCGCGGCCGGCGCGGACACACCATGTCGCCGCGGAACGCTCTGTGGGCCGCCCTCTGGACCGTGCTGGCGGCCTCCGTCGCGGGTGATGTGACCCTGGACCTGGGTGACACGAGCCACAGCGGCGTCTGGGTGGTGCGCAGCGGCGACGGCCGGACCAAGGCCACGGCCGCCGTGCCGGGCGGCGTGTACTCGGACCTGCTGCACGCCGGCGTGCTGAACCAGTCGCTCTACTACCGCTTCAACGACGTCGAGTACCGCTGGGTGGCCGAGAGCGACTGGACCTTCTCCCGGCACTTCACCGCCGACGCCGAGCTGCTCGACTGCGCGCGCGTCGAGCTCGTCTGCGACGGCATCGACACGGTCAGCAACGTCTCCATCAACGGCCGGCTGGTCGGCACTACCGATAACCAGTTCGTCCGCTACGTGTTCGACGTCAAGGCGGCGCTGCAGGAGGGCGACAACGAGATCAGCGTGTCGGTGCGCTCGCCGACCGAGTACGCGGCCGAGCGGTTCGCCGATCAGGCGGCCAGCTATGTTGTGCCACCCGAGTGCGTGCCGCCCGTGCAGAACGGCTTCTGCCACGCCAACCACATCCGCAAGATGCAGGCGTCGTTCAGCTGGGACTGGGGCCCGGCGTTCCCGAGCGCGGGCGTGTGGCGGCCGCTGCGGCTGGTCGGCATGCAGGCGGTGGCCCTGAGGGACGTGATGGTACGCGCGCAGCCGGTCACCGCCGGCAGTGTGACGGACACGTGGCGCGTGCAGCCGAGCCTGCTGCTGTCGGTGGCGGTCCCTGCCAGCGTCAGCTACACTGCCGCCGTGCCGGGGGTAGACGCCCGGGTCAGCGGATCGTTCAACGTCGAGCCGACGTCGGCTGAGGTGGTACTTGAGCCGCTGGTCACCCGCGCACTGACCTTAGATGACCTGTGGTGGCCGAACGGGCCGATCGGCCGCCCCACGCTGCAGACGCTGACCCTGTGTCTGAACGTGACGGCGCCGGTGTCGCAGACACTGCCGTGCCGTAACGTGACGTTCGGTCTGCGGGAGGTGGTGCTGGTCCAGGACCCCGTGGACGACGCCGACCCCGACAAGGGTCTCACCTTCTACTTCCGTGTGAATGGGGTCGATGTGTTCGCCAAAGGCAGCAACTGGATTCCGGCCGACGTCCTGACGGAGCGCGTGACGCCCGCCTACCTGCGCTCGCTGCTGACGTCCGCCCGAGACGCCAACATGAACATGCTGCGCGTCTGGGGAGGCGGCATCTACGAGGACGACACGTTCTACGCGCTGGCCGACGAGCTGGGCCTGATGGTGTGGCAGGACGTGATGTTCGCCTGCTCCATGTACCCGGCAGACGCGGCGTTCCTCTCCAGTGTGCGGGCCGAGGTGTACACTCAGCTCTGGAGGCTGCAGCACCACCCCTCCATCGTTCTCTGGGCCGGTAACAACGAAAACGAGCAGGCGTTGCATCAGAACTGGTACGGCACCGCGGGCGACTTCGAGCGCTACAAGGCCGACTACGTGACGCTCTACGTGGACACAGTGCGCGACGAGCTCATCCGCGTGCTCGGCGACCACGACTCGTTCGTGACGTCGAGTCCGAGCAACGGCCGCCGCTCGGACGAGCAGGGTTACGTCTCCGATAACCCGGGCAGCTCGCTGTACGGAGACGTGCACGTGTACGAGTACGCGCGCGACATGTGGGACGAGCGCATCTTCCCGGTGCCGCGGTTCGCCTCCGAGTACGGCCTGCAGTCGTGGCCGTCGGTGCTGTCCCTCCAGGAGGTGTCGGAGCCGGCCGACCTGGCGTACCACTCCGACTGGGCCGGCCACCGGCAGCACCACGCCATGGGGAACGCCGAGCTTCTGGCAGAGATCGGACAGCACTTTGCGCTGCCGCAGGACGTGGACGGCGCCGGCGGGTTCCGCGACATCGTCTACCTGTCGCAGGTGAACCAGGCGCTGGCGATCCGCAGCGAGACTGAGCACTACCGGCGCGGCCGCTCCGAGCTGGCCGCCGACGGGCGCGGCCGCACCATGGGAGCCATGTTCTGGCAGCTCAACGACATCTGGCAGGCGCCCACCTGGGCGGCCATCGAGTACGGCGGACGCTGGAGGGCGCTTCAGTACGCGGCGCGCCGCTTCTTCGCGCCGCTACTCGCCTCTGTGTACGTGACGGGCCGCGGTGATTCCCGCGAGGTGGTGGTGTACGCCGTCAGTGACCTGCCGGAGGACATCGCCGACGTTTCGGTGCGCGTATCCGTCCACCGCTGGGACCGGTTCGACGAGCCCCAGACCAGTCTGGTGGCCAACGTGACGGTGTCGGCGGCGGCGGCTCAGCGCGTCTGGTCCGCGCCGCTGGCCGACCTGCTGCCCGACACCGGCCTCCAGCTGCTGCGCGCGGCGCTGGTGGACCGCAGCACCGGCGCCGAGCTGGCGCAGCCCAGCGAGCTGTACGTGGAGCCCTTCCAGAACGTGCGTCTCTCGGTGGCGAACGTGCGCGTGGCGGCGGTATCAGTGGCGGCGCTGGACAACCGCCTGAGCACGGACCGACTGCTGGTGACGGTGGCGGCCGACGCGCCGGCGCCGTTCGTCTGGCTCGAGACGCCGCTGGCCGGCAGGTTCTCCGACAACGGCTTCACCCAGCTGGAGGCCGAGGTGCAGGTGGAGTTCCTGGCCGACGAGCCGACGGACGCGGCCACCCTGTTCAAGTCGCTCACCGTGCGCTCTCTGCAGGACGCCTACCAGCAGTGAGTGGTGACCCTGCGAGCAGTGAGTGGTGACCCTGCCAGCAGCGATCGTTGACGGCTGTCAGCACTGACTGTTGGCTGTAAGAGGGGTTACTACTGCAAGTTGTGACTCGGTGAGAACTGCATGTGTCTGAATAAATTCTGATTCCGATCATGAAGATAAGCAGACCAGCCAGTGAGGCACGATAACAATGAAAGCAATACATTATCTGATACTGAACATCACAATACATGCAGGGAAACGTTCTCTGTCTTATTGCATCGAAAGGTAAAAGGTTGAGCTCCTGGCGGGTTTCACTCATTAAATCATGCTGCGTTTTTAACTTCTGCTCACGGATAGGTCGGGCACTTTGTCGATTCTCTGTCAAAGCTGAGGCGTCGTTGAGGCCCGCACTGACAGTACAATGCCGCCGTTCTCTGGCGAAGAAATGGTGACTTCGGACTCTGGTAAGGACTTGGACGAGTTCTGAAAGTGACACTACTTTTCGGATCAAGAGGTTTAAATAAGCACGTCGTCAACTTAATCAAGTTTTCAAAATGACCTCGCGTTTGACCTTACGAGTACATAGCTAAATGTGGCGGATACCCTAAATCCGAGTTGCCACGTTATTGTCGGGTCGGACTTTTCCAGTCTCCCATGACGCACTGCGAGTCCGGCGCCCCCCCCCCCCCTCCCGTGTGACCATGGCGGTCAGCGCGGTGGGCGTGGCCCGGCGACACCTGAGGCCGAGGCCCCGCCCCGCCGAGCGTCGCTCCCGACAGCAGTCGCCGCCTGTCGAGCCGTCGGACCAAGCCGAATTGATCGGCCGCCGGTGGCGGCGGCGGCGGTCGGCCCGCCAACCTCCGGTTTCAGTCTCGACGCCAGACGCCAACACAATAGCTGTTGTCACACGCACAAGAGCTCGGTCATCTCTTGTGCTGCGTCCAGCAGCTGAAGTGCTGACGTCATGATGCAGTGCAGTCCTCTGGCTGCAAAGGGCTGTCCTGGGGCTGAAGGGCTGCTGTTCTCGAAGAGGTTTTGAGCAGCCGCGATCGTTTCACTTCGCCTTGGACAGTGTCGATCCAAGGTCAGGTCGGGTAAAAACAACATTCGGGCAACAGTTATTAAATATACGAGGAGGAATAGCTGCGATCCAAAGCATATCATTCGATGGCCCATAGACCGCAGATAAGTATTTATTAATTTTCCCTACAAACCGGTAATAATCATGCCACCCCTTGACCTTTGCAGCGTGCATTGTAACTGTTGCAAAATCCACGCACTCTCACACGGACGCTAGACTCTATCTAAATTCGGGACGCCTAAGATTGACTTGACAGCAGAGCCCTTGCGGTAGGGAATTTGTGACCCAAACCATTCGGCGTTACTCTCAGCCATTTGAACTTGATTGTTCAGTAAAGGTCACGGTCCCGTTCCCAAAGTTGCAGGGGCAACATGCCTGGAGTGCTTAACATGCCATGAAATGACTCGCCATGACCTGAAGCCACCATTCAACTATCAATTTTACATTTAAAAGTCGCGCGATGACCTAAGGTCATCGATGACATGGCCTCTAAGTTGGCCTGCAAAGTTGCTGAATTATTTATTGGTCTGTTTTAGAACACCGTCTGGTGTTTTTGGACGGGGACGTGGTGTTTTATCCCGAGCGAGTGCATGGAGAGGGGGAGGCCTGAGGGGTACCTGCTTGTAAAAATAGTTCACCGCCTGCCCTGTGGGTCCGGTGCTTATGAATTTAAACTTTAAAGCGAATGTTGCTCTGAAGCGTTTAAGTGCACCTAACACATGTAAGTCTGTTCCGTGGCTCAGGACTCCTTCCAGTAGCTAACATTAAAGAGTCATATGTTGATGTGATCGACCTTGCCTATTCGTTCCTGCGAGCGAGTTAAGATTTATGGCTTCAATTATCTGCCGATCTCCATTAATTTCCATAGCAAGGTACGCTTATTCTTATTCTAACTCCGTCCTTCCATTCATTCCAAACATACTATGAATGAGAGGGTATTGTTTCGCACGCCTCCGCACGTATGTATAGTCCGTCTCTCGAGTGTCAGTGAGCGCGTGTTTCGCTCCGTCCGGCGCCTCGTCGTTTCATTGAGACGGGTGCGTCGTTGCGTCGCCCGCCGGCCGTTCGTCGCCGGCGGCGCGCCGTCCGTCCATTGAGCGGACTCGCAGCGGTGACGCACCGGCCCGGTCGCCCGAGTCCGGACCACTTCCTGGTGGCGGTCGGTCGTCTCCGCGTCAGCTGAGTGCGCCCCCCCTCCTGCCCCCGGGGGGCTGGGTCAGAGCGCGCCGACTTCCCGTTCATTCAGAGGGCAGAGCTCGGCTCCTGGCGCTCTCCCCGAGGCCAGGATCGATGCGCCGGCGGCCGCTCTGCGTTGGCCACACACACGCAGACGCACACGCGCGTCGTGCGCGGCGCGGCGCGTCGATTCCACAGCGGCGCGACCTACTTCCCGTCACGTCAGCGGTCTATTTTGGGCCGGCGGTCGGCTAAGTATAGCGCGCCGGCAGCGCGACTCGGGCCGGCCCGGCGCCAGAATAGATCGCCGCCGAAGGCCGCGCCTCGTCGGTGTCGGCGCGGCGCCGCGGCCGGCCGGCCGGCACTTCCGGGACCGCCGGGTGCGTCCAGGGGTCGCATCCCGCCCAGAGGGGAGCGGCTGCACCTGTCGCACTTTCAGCGGGAGCCGCACCGAACTGGCGGTCACCAGCGGGGCGGGGCGGGGCGGGTCAGCCGTGCGCACACGATCGGAATAGAGCTGATACAGAGCGCGGCCCACTCGGCCATCGATTCCCGACCCTAAGGCCGCGGCGCCTTATGGAGGGAACATCTGGAGAGAGTGCGCTGAACATCATCTGAATGATCGCCATGGAAACGGAGAATACGGTGCAACCATTTTCTGCTCAATGACGACGTACCACGAGGTGTGTAATGGAATCATTTTCGACGCTGTAAGATAAAGTGGCATCAGACACATATGTGGTGTTCTGATAGCTCATTTGTGGTGGACGCACATTTCTAACTATAGGTATGTGGTGCAGGAAGTAAGACGGGAGGTAATGATCATTGGACGGCAAAAAACAACAGTGTCAATTAATATGAATGGTGGGGGGGCCACTGAGTGCAAATAATTAGGATGTTCACTAGCAGAGATGATTCAATTAATGTAAGCACATCCTTTAGGTTATTGTTCAATGTTTTATGTGAAAAACTGAATCGGACAATCCGCTTTGTCACCATGACCACCACTAACCACTGACCAGACAACAATAAGATGGACACGAGCCCACCCACTGTGATATAAGTAGATATTCACATTAAGTTATTAACAAATTATGACCTCATGTGCCCTTACACGACCGTTTGAGCGACCGCTCGCGCTGGATCAGCGACACTGCTCTATTGCAGATGTGTACCTAAATAGCTCGTGGTTCTGGAATTATAGGGGAAGCGGGGGTAACACCGCCCCCCTAAGCTTTTCGCCAAAATGAGAGAATATGTGTGAAGTCTCTTGGTAGTTATTGTCTTGGTTACAATATTTAAACATTTTCTCACGTGTTTTAGGTACTTATTTTGCACGCTCCTAAAAGGTTTTCATGCATCACGACTTTTAAAAAATACCTTGCATATTTGCCGCCTACAAATTGTGTGGGTAACCCCGCCACCGGTGTTGATGTTAACCAAACCCATTACTACGAAAGCTTTTAATTGTTCAGAGTTCGCGTGCGATGAGTTTCCTGTCGGTAAGTGGTAATTTTCGCAAATAATCGGTAATGGACACCTAAATAGGTATAGGTTCATCAGCTGTTTGCCAGTTTTATACAGCTGGCAAGTGCTTGGTCGGGATGCATGAAAGTATAAAGTAAAAAAATCAACTAAGCTGCTTATTCCCGACTTAGGAAATCTACGAACATAAATAAGCGCGTGTCTTTGGAGTTTCATCACTTATCATACTACGAACAGGAAACACCGCAACCTCAATTGGGCGGTTAATAGGAAATAACGGATTTTTACACTTCACATTTCATACTTTCGCCGCCACATGGGGTGGCGGTGTTTCCCACAGTGGCGGTGTTCCCCCCGCTTCCCCTACCTACATATATGTCTAGGTTTTGACACGTTAGTTCGAGGCGAGAGGCATTTGCACTTTTCCCTAATTGCTTAATGATGGTAAGGATATCAGTTTGACCTGACCCCGGGTCAATATAAAAAGTTCCAGGTTATACGATTTGTTTGCATCTTTGCAATCATGCAATGCACAAATTTTCAAGCTATCAGAAAACATGTTACATAAGTCATAAGTGATACTATCGCAAAGCTTCTTAGAGACTGAGTTACTTTATTTGATCCAGTGACATAGGTAATCGAGGATCATTTTTCACACGCGGGATGTATAATCGATGCGTAGGTATAAGTATGCTTAGGTATGAGCTATGCAACGCATCGCGCCGCTAAGCTTCGCGGTTTATCGTGTTCGCAACATTATGAACTGTTGTGGGGCTAAAAGGACCTCCAACCTGGCAAAGGTAAAATACCTATAATTGAACGGCACCGCATGGCTGTTTCGAACAGGAGCCGGCCGCGACCTGTCCGACCTTCCCCAACAAGGACGTGGTCTGGCACGTAGAGGCAACTCGTCCCGCTAACCTAATTTTGGTCGCTGACCTAACGTAACTATTTGAACGGGAATCAAATTAGTCCAATGCCCGCTGCTGTATGTACATACAGGGTGGAAAGTAATTACGCGAACATACTTTTTCGTCTTCTAGTAATGAAAAAAAAAACGGCGGTGACATAAACAATATATGTTTTACTTTATCCTTATCTAGTTGCGATGCATTGACATAGGCGTTCCGGCATGATTTACATCAGCATGTGAAGATCTGTTGGCCAAAGCTCAGCCCACACCTTATGGAGCTGTCCAGTGAGGTAATCGGTATTGGTGGCTCCTTGCAGCTTTTAGACGGTCTCCTGAGGAGTCATCTGGAGATTTTTAATCGAATTGAGGCCCAGGCGTTTCCCAGATCAGCTTTTGTATGTCCTGAAGAAAAACAGGTCCTCACAGCACCAGTATTACGTTTTGTTGGCCGTGAAAGTAAGGATTTCACCAATCACGAAGAGCAGTTTCTTTGCGTCAGGCACAAAAGTGCGCTCAGTCATTTTGCCCCTTTCGTTGCACGGTGGATTAGACAGAGACACTCGTCTTGGAGGATGTTCCACCGGTTGTATACTTTATTTTTAGTGACCTTTTTTAGCGCTACACGCAATTCGGACACCACCCGGGGGCTCGTGACCCACTGATGTGTTCCTTTGCCGGATGTTTGAAGGTTGGGACGGACGGGACATAGGACGCAACAGCTGCCCTCAGAGCAGTTGTTCGGCAGGTTTGACGGATGAAACAGTTTCACAGATGTCTCACCCAACCACAAATCCAGCTGCCTGTCCTCCTCTGTCCATCTTTGATTGTCTTTGAAAAGCTTCAATTAACAATTCTGCTGTTAATTCGTGAATTTTGGTCATCCCGAGGGTTTGTACGACTTAATTTTCGAATTTTTTGCGTATTAATGTGCGAATCGTGATATCCTAGATCGGGTACCCGGCCAGAGTAAGCTATTTTGCCAGTTTTCGGGTCGACTGGCGTCGTTTTGTCGCCGACATGGTGACCACCCGCCCGGCGACAGAATTCGCTGAGGGGTTGCTGCCGCGGACGGCTTTGCTTTTTAAGTCCTCTCAAGTGTTATTATGTTAAAAAAACGTATAATTGTGCAATGCTGGTGCTGAGACCTCTACGAATCCCTTCTCCGCCAGTCCAGCGAAAATAATCACAAACGCTTTCCCTGGCAGCTCCAAATTGAGCTCTTGGCCCATTTCGGTCTTGTGCAGCGTATGGTGTCTGCACCATTTTAAGTCGAGAGGTGTTTAAGACCTTCCAGGTCATTGTTCAAAGTTAGGTCACTTTTGGTAGATGAGGCGACAGCAAACACGACCAATTATGTTCCATGACAGCCCGTACTCATAAAAATGCTCCACTGATGGTCAAAATTGTAAGAAAATACATGTTCGCATAATTAGTTTCCACCCTGTAGGTATGCACATTTTCTTCCGTGTTAAAAAGATTGGTTGGCTTCCATAAAATGGCGGAAAAAGTCAGCATGATTGGGCTTGGGGCTGGATAGATATCCGTTTCGACTTAAATCTCAGAAAGGCCACGAGTTACGGGTGGGCGGGCGATGCGGGCGGTTTTGTTTTTTGCGTCGTTTGCGGTGTTAAATTTGTTTGCGGTTGGCGGCCGCTTTTTCGTTTCTTTTTTGCGGTGTTTGCTTTTGGCGGCGTTCGGGCGATTTTTAGGCGTTTTCGGTTGGCGGTTAGCGGGCGTGCGACATGGGTGGTTTTATTTTTTTGCGCTGTTTTTGCGTTTTTTGCGGTTTGTGGCAGGCGTGCGTTTGTTTATTGTTTTTGTTTGCGACGTTTGCGTAGGCGTTTCGGGCGTGCGTTTTGCGGCGTTTGCGTTTTTTCACATTTCAAAGTCCAAACCTTCGGGCCACAGCGCTCCTCGAAAAGCAATGCCCTCGAGAAATCTAAGAAAGGCCACGAGTTAGTCCGCTCAGGAAGGACCGCTAGAGGCATGGGAGGGTTATAATCGGTGCTGCTGACAAAGGGTCGTGGTGGGCTGCTGAAATTATGACCGACGATTAAAAGATAACACCGAAACACGGACACCATTCAAATTTAGTCGGAGACGACACACTGGCGGTCGCAGGGGGGCGGGCCACGGGGGCCATGGCCCCCCCTTTGGTGCTGAAAGGTGGGGCCATACTATCTTTTGGCCCCACCTTTCAGATCGAACAAAAGTCCTAGAAAAACTTTTCGTATGTTTCATTTTCTTTCTTGCGCCATCAAAGGACGTAAATTTCACTCATGAGTGGGCTCAGTTTCGCATTCTGTCAATTTGGCGGTCAGCGTCGCTGGCACCGGTTCACGAGTATGGCCGGATCTTATATAGAATATCAGCGTGGGTTTACTTGAGGCTCTCGTAGGCCCAGCATTCAGCAATGGCTGGCATGAGACCCTCTTCGGCAGTGGCGGGTGGGCCCTGCTAAAGGAGATTGGCTCCAAGACACTAAAGTAAGACCTCATGGGTTGGTGCTGTGCACCTCAGAAGCCCGGTGGTGACGCCGTATGCCGGCTTGGTTTCTTAAGGATTAGCGTGGGACCTCCGGGGCCTGCATAGAGTTTGCATGAGCTAGTATGTAAGCTCAGAGGCATGTGTGTAATGTGTACACAGTGGCGGTCGCGGGGGGCCGGGGGGGGGGCATCAGGGTCATGCCCCCAAAGGTCAATAAAGGGGGTCATCATATAATTTGCCCCCCCCCCCTCAAACAACCAATGGGCCCCCATATAGGTGTATGGGGCCCTGGCAATTATTCGATCGTCACGAGGCTTAAAAAAACCACGCCCAGCTATTAATATAGCTCCCACACCGGTCTTTGAACGTCCTACACTGACCTCTGAGGGAACTTCAGTGGCGGTCAAGCGCCCACGTTGACCGCTAAGAGCCTACATCAACCTCTGAGGCCCCATATCTGGCCTATGAGGGCCCCTAACCGGCCTCAGGGGTCCCAACCGGCGTCTGAGGGTCTCACACCGGTCTCTGGTGGCCTTATTTCTGTCTCTGGTGTCCTACGACGAACCTTTAGGTGCCGATAAGGGCCCCGCACTGGCTGCTGAAGACCCGATGCCGGCCTCTAAGGGTCTGCATTGGCCTCTGAGGAGGGCCCATCTTGGCTTTTGAGGGCCCTCTGCTGGCCTCTGGGGTCCAACGACGGCTCATGCCGGTCTTTTAGGGCCCCACGCTGACCTCTGAGGGCCCATGCTGGCCTGTAATGAGTAAGGACCCACATTAGCCTCTGAGAGCCCAACTCGGTCTCTGATGGTCTCAAACTACTGGCCTTTGTAGTTTGCAGGCCCTGTACTGGTCTCTGAGGGCCCTAAAGTAGCCTCTACATGAAAACATACATGGGTGGGTTTCTGAAGATCAGAAGGCTCACGCAGTCTCCGGCACAGCCTTACGTTGGTCCTGATCGAGATTGCTTTACGTCCTGATGGTCCCGCGCTGATTCCCTCATATTTCGAGGTCGGGACCCCATGAGCCGGTGTGGGTCCTGGGGCTGGCAGAGACTGATGAAGTCCTTAGGGCTCAGGGCCAGTCTTTTTAGCACTAGGACCAGGCAGGTTGGGTGAGCCCCAACAGAGCCGTTGCGAAGCCCCGCAGGAGTCGCGCGCGGCCCTCAGATGCCAATTCTGAAAGCTGGGAACCTGTGGGGGTCTCCAGAGGCCGGTGTACCTACTCTCTCCCGCCGCCACACAACTAGGTACCTACCTATATGGGTAAATGTCATAGTCTAAAAATTCTCTCTGGGTTTCACATGCTTGTTCAAAGCAAGAGGTATCTGTACTTTTTAGCAAGATGTATCTGTACTTTTCCGAATTGTTTTATAGTGGTAAGGTCATGAATCCGCGTGCCTGACCTTCCAGTATACCTATGCTACACCGATCCGTCGTCATGGACGGTGCAGCGGCCCGACCGGTGGGCACACCGTGAGACGATAAATGGAACTGGTGATTTTGCCTTAAATTGAGCTCAAAGATTTCACGCAAGAATGAGATGGATGAAGCAAAAGTAAGGCCAACTGTGCGGCGCCTCGTGGACGTAAAACATTAGCCGATCACCCCCCCCCCCCCTCCCGGTGACGGATAAATGTTATGTCCCGCGAGTGTGACTTTGGCCCCCCCTTTTGCTAGCGGCTGCGACCGCCAGTGAGACGACATAAAAAAGATAAAGTCAATATAATATTGCGCGGAAACGATTTACGTATACATTTAAGAACATAATCACTCACATTTAGTGCCTACTTAAGATCATTGCTCATGACTTCTAATATTCTTACTAAATAGTGATTATCTATTTTTTATCTATTTATGCATATTTGTTAGTGAGATAAGAGAGCGCCTTGCCCCGTTGTTGACGATGCCGCGCGGCCGGCCGCTGCTGTCTCGCTCCCCACCTATGTATACCTATATCAGCCTCTCGAGAGGTACCGGGCGGTCTGAGCAGCCGGCTGTTTATCGCGGAGATGCCACTCACGGCGCTGTGATAGGGCGGCCGCAGCTCGGCCGGTTCAAGGTCCCGACTCAGGGTCGTCCGGACCGGCCCGCCGCCACTGGTCAGTCAGCAGTGACCGGTCCGTGCTGAACGGGAGGAGACCGCAGAGTGAACGCCGGCAGAGCAGCAGGACCAGCTAAGGAGACAGGTAAATAGCAGACCCCTTCTTTCGAACTGTGTTCACGATATAAACGCGAGGTATGCATCGGTGGTTGCGGTGCGAGAGATAGTGGCTTTCGAGCGATCACATATCTTGAGCTGCTTGGAAACGGTGGTAGGATCAATAGGTATAATATTGTGCTGGGCTGTTAAAACCTATGATTTGGAACATGACTCGCATAGATGAAGCTATGCTTTTAACATCAGTGTGCACGCTCTTATCGTAGTTATAGTGCCCTTTAAACGTCGGATGTTAGTTAAATTTGAATCGCTCGTCCCTTCGCACTTGCTACTGAGTGCAGACAAATAATCGCTGGCTGCTTATTTATAAGCGCCAATCTCTGGCCACTGACCCGACCATTGGGGATGACCGCTGACCACCAGATGTCGTCTTTTGACCGCTGACTGACCTGTTATCCCACTGCTTATCTGTTACCGCCGATCTCTAACCACTGACTGCTGACCACTGACTTCTGACTGCTGATCGCTGAGCAGTAACATCTAACCGCCGGCGGCACCGTCCGCAGACCATGCCGGACATTGAGGTGATTTCGGCGGGCCACGGGGTGTGCGGCGAGGGACCGCACTGGGACGCCCGCTCGCAGGCGCTCTACTCCATCAGCGTGAGCGTCGGCGCCGACAAGAGTCCGGACGTGCTGCGCTGGGACGAGCGGCGGCGCGCCGAGACCGGTCTGGTGATCACCCCGGACCCGACGCCGGCGCACGCGCTCTCTGAGTTCACCACGTTCGTGATCCCGGTGCGCGGCCGCGCCGACACGTTCGTGGTGAGCCGCGGCGACCGGGTGGCCACGCTGCACTGGGACGGCGCCTCGCCGCAGCACGAGCTACACTGCTTCGCCAAGGTGGATGAGCACGTGCCGCACCCGATGCGGCTCAACGACGGCAAGTGCGACCCGCTGGGCCGGCTGTGGACGGGCACCATGAGCGAGGAGTCGTCGCCCGGCGAGCCGCGCGTGTCGGCGCCGGCTCTCTGTACTCGGTGTCCCGCGACGGCGGCGTCACCGCCCGGCAGGACGGCATCAGCATCTCCAACGGACTCGGCTGGAGCGCCGACATGAGGCACTTCTTCTACAACGACAGCTACACGCGCAAGGTGGAGGTGTTCGACCACGACCCGGTGAGCGGCGCGCTGAGCGGCCGGCGGACGGTGCTGGACACGGCCGCCGCCCGGCTGCCCGGCCTGCCCGACGGCCTGACGCTGGACGCCCGCGGCCGGCTCTGGGTGGCGCTGTTCGGCGGCGCCCGGGTCATCTGCGTGGACCCGGCGCAGGGCCGCGTGGCCGAGACGCTCCACCTGCCCACCTACAACATCACGTCGTGCACGTTCGGCGGCGCCGGCCTGGACGCGCTGTACGTCACCTCGGCCTCGTTCGGCCTGCAGCCGTGGCAGCGTAAGATCCAGCCGGACGCCGGCGCCATCTTCCGCGTCACCGGACTCGGCGTGAGCGGCACCGAGAACCGCGACTGGGACGCCGACTGGGAGGCCGTCCGGGCGCGCCGCGTGTAGGGCCCGGCTCTCGGCGGAGCTGTGAGCCGACCTGCTATATCCACCGCTCAGTCTGGCGGCGTACGGGACCAAATGTCTGTCGGTCGCTAGATAGTTTATACCACCTATGTGGAGTCTGAAGGGAGCGAAACTCGTCGAGGATTTTATATTCAGCACAGAAGCACAATGTCACAGAACCTAAATGTTGAGGGAGACGCGTGTCCGTTTCTCCGCTGTGAGCGAAGTCCAAGGAGCCACGTGACTGTAAGTACAATATCCATGACAAAAGAAACGGTAGCTACTGACATAAAATCACATTATTTTCACTGTTTTCGTTTGCCGTCCAAATGTAAACACGGCTGAATGCTGTGTACAATGCTCAAGTCTTTAACCTGCAGCATGTGTACAGACTGCAGTATGCCTGTGCCTGTGTACATTTGGAGTTTTGACCTGTGAATTTTAAATATACGATTCACCCTGAAGTTATCCTTGGTGTTTGTAGCACTTACCATGCGATGTCTGCATTGTGCAATGTGCATTGTAAAACGTTATCAATAACGTGAACGGCAATGTGAAAACCATCAACCTGATGAATGAGGATAGACAGAAGCTTCGCTAGAAGTCCTGATGAGATGCTCCAAACGCACTTTCTTTATTTTGGGACCGTCTATCAATGAAGAGGAGAATTACCGTTTGGGCAGCATGACCGCTGTGAATACCGATGCCCTTCAGGTTTTAACGCGGCACATGTAGCGGTTTTAACGCGGCACCCGTGTCGTAACCGGCGACCGACATGACCATGTCCCTGTCTCTTTTCTCACACTCTTCTTCCTCAGTATGTGAGACCGTGCCGTAATGCCTGGAGGTCTCGCCAAAAGCGGGCACAGGTCTTGAGCTAGAACCGGGCACTCGGACGGTCCCTGAGATCAGAGATGGGATCGTATGCTGTTAGCCCCGGATCCCTTCGCTGCACTACGGCGTCAAGTAAAAGTGTCCAGTGTCAGTAAAATACATTTAGTTTGTCAGTGCTTAGCACGACTAATTTTAAAACTATAAAATATGTAGTGTATTTAGCTCCACGGTGCCGAAGGCGGTGTAATGGACACGATCGGATCCTGCTGTCTGTCATACTGTCTCCGATAGAACCAGTATAATCTGCATCATATCACATTCTCTTTTTCTTCTTCTCTTACGCTATGCGTCTGCTGTTCAAGGTTGGTAACAGATAAGACAGATCACGGGATTCGCGGCCCCTCCCGCTGCCGTATCGCCGCCCTCCTCCAGAGCTTCCACAGCTGCCGCTAGATGGCAGCAGCGACGCGCGCCTGAAGGTATGCTGTACCGCAGCACTCGCGGCAGCCGGGGCCGCAGCGAGGCGGTGCGTCCCGTTCGTCGGGCGGCGGGCTGGCGGGCCAGCGGCCACACTACCTCCAGACGGTTTACAAACGCCATTAACACGGCACTCACATACCTAACTTTGTACACTTACCTTCACTAACTATTAACGTTATTATGAACTTAATCTCATTGCATTTGTATTCTCTCTTTCCATTGCCTCGCAATGGTCCGATAACAATGAACCTGCCTATGTTTAAGACATTTAATTTTAACCGAACCATTTGAACCCATAGAAAATTGTACCTTCTGGCAACGGATACACGGCATGCGTCACTGACATGATGGGTACCAGCTAAAATGACGTAACTGCCGTACCGCAAATACTGCACGTGCTGCATGCTCGGGCCTCAGAGGTGATGTCGAGACCGAGGGGTGTAAGGTTGGCTATGCTTCTTTTGGAGATGGTGATGTCCCCAAACAGAAATTGTGATGTTCCTAAATCCTAACAGAAAATATGATGAACCCACCGGGGGATGTGATGAACCCACTGGGAGATGTGATGAACCAGTAGCGGCGGAACACCTTCAATTAAGGGGGCAATTAACTGTTACAATTAACTGGGACCAATTAACTGACGACTTTTGGTCCCATTCTTACCATGCAACGCCCATGTTTAACGCCCAACGCCCATTCTTTACCATTAGCCCTATGTTTTTAACATAGGGCTAATGTTAAAATGCCAAAATCAAAGGGGGGCACGGTGCCCTCCCCGTTCCGCCGCCTATGTCAGATGAACCCACCGGGGAATGTGATGAACCCACCGGGGAATGTGATGAACCCACCGGGGAATGTGGTGAACCCACCGGGGAATGTGGTGAACCCACTGAGGGATGTGGTGAACCCACTGCGGGGATGTGATGCATCCGATGTAATAGTGGCCGTGATCGGAATCATGTCCTAATCTGCTGCGTGGCTGGTGCTCTAGGTACTCTCCTAAGGCACGTTCTTTTTTCAAGGACACAAAGTTCCTGTTGATTAATTTAAACTCATGAATATGTATGTGTGGGTTTCGCCTCCAGCACCTAACATACCTCTAGGCTAGCTGTGTATTTTCTAGTGCGTACGCCGTACTGAGCTGCTTTGCCTGAACTAAAAACGAACAGTGCTCTAGGATATTCCTGAGAGCAAAGTTGAACTATGTACCTACTTCTTGCAAGAACAATGCACAAACTGAACCCACTTGGGTTGAGTTCGCTTACTTTATTATTGGCTTAGGAAGTCTGCATTATCTGAATATAGGGCCCATGCTATGGATTATTTTCGGTATCGTGTGTTCAGTGGCCAGTGCGCGGATTTGCATGGGAAGTTGTAGGTAGCCGTACCGATGCTGTGGGCGTATTCCCCTGCGACGCACACAGAAACCTCTCCATCCGGTCGGCCCAATGCCTCTCTCGCAGTCGGATTCCGGTCCCATGGCCCAGTAAAGATCCAGTTTTTAGCCTAACACTTATGCCATGGATACAAGAATGGATAATAGAAATGAATATCAGACAATCGGTTTGTTGGTTGCCTTTCTCTTTCCTCAGATTGGCTCTCGAGTAGCGGTGTGGCCGGTCGGGGAGGTAGGTATGTTGGTATGTAGGTAGGTATGTACACCATGTGTAGATAGGACTTTGGCACCAGTCCGGTCATACAGAGAACTCAGTAGTCCCGCCATTTTCCAGTGTTAGCTGCTCTCCATGAGACATGACATAAAATATTAGCCAGAACAATATAAACAATCTAAGTGATGCATCTAGGTGACCGTGGTGGCACGTGCCACGTAAACAGTCATGGGTGTCAACGTTACTCCGCTAAAATGACGTTTATTAGAGGCTTCTTTAGTGGCTTGAGATCTCAGCAGCCGCTGAGTCGATCGATTCACAGTCATTTATGTACAGGATCGTTGCATCCTTCCTACCAGGCATGTAATGTACCCACCGGTATACTTTCGATGCATCAGGCGTCTGTTCCAGTCGCACTTCCTAACACCTCTAAACTCCTCCAAGAGCAAGATAGAGGAGGTTGGAGCAGGGCCCTCCTTGGCTTTGTAGGGGCTAGAGCTGCCACTGGAACAGTGAAGCAATCTTGGAGGAGTTTAGAGGTGTTAGGAAGTGCGATTTGAACAGGTCGCACTTCCTAGTTGACTACCACTGCGCGTGTCACGGGCAAAATGCAGGAGGTTCAGGTTTGCTTCCATCTTAATAAATCGGCAATGGCTAGGCCAGTTACGCTGAAACTTAGCATGTCAGTAGGCACTGGGCAGTGGGCACCCACCGGGCAATTTACATATGCATTTCCATATGTCACGGTGATTGGGGTGTCCCTGCACGTGCACACGTGCACTGCAGGGGCCTCTTCCAGATCTTGAAAACGGCGGGACCAATTGCACTGGTGACTGATCACTCTGGCCAAGTTTGCTACAGCCGAAACTGCTCCACCAGCGTACCTTATCACCATTCCCGATCCAGGGAGAACCTAGCGTTCCTGCAGGGACGTCACCTCCAAATACCCCTTCCCAGTCACACCCCAAAGAAAGAGCGACGCCAATCCTTTTAGCAAAAAAAAAAAAAAAGAAGAAAGAACTCGACTGTGATCAAGGCCCCACCTAGGGACTATGATTGCTTATAAATGCGAGTACGGTGGACGATGCACACCATTCCCGCATTGAGCCGGACGTAAACACCGCAAATTAGGAAAACTAGCAATGAATCTTCCCCACCGTACTTTATATTGATTATATTGTCTTAATGTGCTTTGTCATAAAATAAGTTAAATGATAAATCCCGACTTTCCCCGTTGGAACTTGGAAGACACTGAAAGTGGAAGGGGAAGGGGCATATACCGACATTGCTGGCCCTCAGCCTGTTTGAACCGAGGTAGGGGGCATGGTCAGGGTCACCCTGGCCCCGGCTACTATGCCTTTGCCGAACTTATATGCCGACCCCAAGCAGACCCGGTCAAGCGTTGGTCGTTTGCATACGCATTCTGCTGTACCGTGCCAGTATTGTCTTATGCCTTTTCAGTGTCCGTATACCTACGCCTCGCCTCGTATTCCACAACATGCTGCCACCAGGACTCCCAGTCTTGCCTCTGAAGTGGTTTCCAATTCACTGAGTGAAGGAAACTGCGCTCAATAACGCTTTAGACACAAAAAGAAATCTTCATTGAAGGGCGAGCTGGGTAATCGCCAAGTTCTGGTGTTTGGGGTGCCGGGTGGTAGGTACAGACAGACACAAAAGTCAGCAAAAAGTGTGTGTGGGGGGGGGGGGCAGTTAACATTGCTGGCCCCCACCTCCGAAAGTGGGGACATGCCCCCCCCCCCCTGTTCTTACGCCTATGCCCATGGGGCGAGGGAATGGAACGAGAAGGTAACGGAGAGCCGTTGGGTTGAATCAATTGCCGCCTGGTGCGCCGCAGTGCTGTGGCCGAGCCCGCCGAGCCCATCCCGTTTGGGACGGCAGTGTCACCCGCAGTCCAGGCTGCCCAGCCTCTTAAAAAGGACCACGGAGGACTTCGTCGTCCACTGATTATTTCCTGACATCAGACCTCTGTATACATAGGTCTATGTTCCTGAGAAAACCGTTTGTCAGATATGTTAGTGTAACAATGCAGATAGGCTGGTGGACGTATAAGACGAGCACAATGCACTAATTCTCATAACCCCGAACCCGTGCCATTTGTTGCCTGGTAATGAATAGAATGTGAGACGTAGGAAATGAAAAATGAATCCATCTGGTAACATCATTATCTCCTTACCAATTGTCATTATCAAGCCCAAAGGTTCCCGTATTCTTACAAATAAGCACCGATTTATGAACTGATACGATTCATGTAGCATTGCGATAAAATAAGTGACAGGCTTGGAACAATTTCATCGCAATAATTGATGCTCTCGAATTTTATATTGAATTTTATCCACACAATTATCTATAACATTGAGTAGGTAAACGTTACATGCTTTCAATGTTAATTTAGGCTTGAAACGTCTATGCGTGCTTTTCGGCCCGTGACTGCGGCGCAATAGCGCGCCTGAAATAGCGGGCGCGTTCAAAGGTCGCCGCTGACGGCGAGTGCTGGCTGCGGCCCCGCTGCGCAGTAGTCCCCAC